TGATTTTTCCTCATATAAGTTGGTGTCAAGTGCTTTATCTTCAGTGTCACTAATTCTAACTTCTACTGCCTCAATTCTGCTCCTATGACTTTCTACTGAGTTGTCTAATTCTGAAATTTTATTGTTAATCTTCTGGATTTTCTGATTGATGTCTCTCTATGGATTCTTGCAGCCTATTAAATTTGTTATTATGTTCTTGAATAGCTTTTTTAAGTTCCGCTACTACTTTGTCTGTGTGTTCCTTGGAAGTTTCTGCATTTTGTCGAACTTCCTTTCTAATTTCTAGAAGAGTTCTGTATATTAATCTTTTGTATTCTGCCTCTGGTAATTCCAAGAAATTCTCTTCCTCCAGAGAATTTATTGATTATTTATTCTGGGAGCTTGCTGAAGCCATCATGGACTGCCTCTTTATGTGATCTGATATTGACTGTTGTCTCCGAGCCATCAGTAAGTTATTATAATTTTATTTTATATTTGTTTAGTGAGTCCTAGCTTCTTGTTTTGTTTTGATATGCCCCAATAGGCTGCTCTTGTGCGCTAGTTTGATTATTGGCGCCTCTGAAGCTCTAACGTCCTGTCACCAGGTAGTTAGTTCTGTAACTAAGTATGTGCACACAGGAGTCCATTAAATTTTCCTATATGGGTTAAGCTCAGGTGTCCAGGCAGTCAGTCACCAAATGTGTGGTGCAGGCTCTCACCTACAGTCTTAGAGAGGTGGGTGATTGGTGTAGGCACTGGTATCTGGCTGTGGTAGGGGGTCAAGCACTGAGCCAGGCAGGGGGCTGACAGCTGCCCCTGAGAGTCTGAAAGGAAAGCAGGTCCCTATTTCCTAGGGCAAGTAGGTAGGTGAGTTTTGCAGCCGGACTATGAGCATCCTACTCTGTTGGCTGTAAAGACTCAAGAGCACCACTTTTTCTTGGGCTCCTGTAGCAGGTGACAAGATGGCGTAGGTGACACCACCAGTCCTCAAGCCCCTGGTGCGGATCGGTAAAGGTGCCTACTTAAGGGGCAGGGCTGTGTTGAGGGTCACAAATCTGCCGCTTCACAGCTGAAACAGTTGAAGTTAAACTTCAGATGTTTACTCTGTTGTACTGTGATAGTGAGGGCTAACGCTGTTGAGATGGGTCCCCATGAGTCTATACAGGGGTGTAAGACACTCAAAGTCTGTGGACCCCTTATGCCTGTGCCTAGCAAAGGAGCTGAGTTGACCCTGAGTTCCTGCCTTAGGGGAGCCAGTAGCTTATTTGTTCCCTCTCCAAGGCTAGGAGAATGGGTCAGGGCACCTTTTGGGATCTACTTCCGGCCCAGCAGACTCCTGGTGCAGAGTGGGGAGGGAGGAGGTAAAAGGGAGAGAGCTTTTTCCCAATGGGCTTTTTTTTTTTTTTAAATTCCCACAAAAGGCTGCACGTGTGTACTTATCTTTAGCAACTTGGGAGCTGCTTTTCACTGGTTTGGAGTGTCCAAGCAGAATCTCTGCTGCCGGATCTCTCTCAATGTGGAAACTGCCTCCCGAGAGCGTGCACAGCTGTTTGCCAGCTTCACTGGATACGTTGGAGCCAGTTGGGGCTGAAGAGCTGCGGCTCCAGTCACAGTCCAGCACTTCTTTATTCTTCAGAACTGTCTCCCTCTCCCCCTGCCACTCAGTCCGATTCTTCAACTTTGCCTTGTTCAGAGCTCCTAGATATTCATATACAATCAAATCACTTGTTTTTCCAGGTCTTTGTTGTAAGAGGGATATAGAAAGCTGTCTGACTACTCTGCCATCTGGCCCCACCTCAGCAATTTTTTCTTTCAAGGTTTTAATATATCATCTCATTGCCTTTTAACCTGCATAGTTTCTTAGTTTAATCTTATTGTTTCCCCTTTGTAAGTGACTTTTTGTTTTTCTCGAGCTGCTCTCATGATTATTTCTTTGTCTTTGGTTTTGGAAAGTGTGATTATGATATGTCTTTATGACTTACTTTTGGGGTCTATCCTATATGGGGTTCGTTGATCTTCTTGGATAGTCAGCTTTTCATCTTTCATGATATTTGGGAAGTTTTCTGCCAGCAAATCTTTAACAACCTTCTCTGTCTTTTCCATTTTCTCCCCCTGTTCTGAAACTCCAATCACACACAAATTTTCCCTCTTGATTGTGTCCCACACAGTTCTTAGGTTTTCTTCCACACACTTGTTTTTAAATGGAGTTTAGTTTAGTTACAAATCACCAAAATTATCCATTTAATTTGCCTTTCAAAGTTTTTCTTATGTATACATTCAGCCATTTTAATTTATAGGCACTTGTTTTAAAACTTTCAATTGCTGCTTAAGAATTTTTGGTGAAAAAGATAGCTTGATGTTTCTATATTTTATAGCATCCTTGTGGTTCTGAGGCAGATCATTCTTTTTATAATCCCCTTATTTATTTTGTATATATCTAAATTACTTGAAAATGATTTGAAAAGTCACAAAAGCCACAAACACAAAGCTTGTAGTTCTTCCAGTCATGAAAAAAAGTCAAGAATCTCTGTTGAGAGTTGAACTTTATACTCATACGGTAATGGCAGGTTCACAGTTTGGTATAACAATGGCACGTCATTCACATAATAAACCACATGGCTGATTACATTATTGTAGATAAGCATAACAGACTTTGCTCAGTATTAATGAACAGCAAAGAAGTAGACAATTCTTTAATCTTGGTAATGTTTCATTCCAAAGGAGACTGCAGGGTGAACGATATTGGAAAAGCAGACACAGACACAGAGGTGAGGCCTAAGTAAAAATATATTTCTGGAAAGTCATGGGAGTCCTTTCTTTAAAATGTGACATAAATATAAGTTTGTACTACAGCTATACCAGCTTGGTGGCTACATTTTAATATATCAATTTCTAAAAAGTCAAACATCCATTTAAATCGGCAGTTGAGGCTAGATAACTTTCTTAAACCGTAAACTGAAAAATTATGTTTCTTATTTACTGTTAGTTTCTACATAAGTTATTTTGAATAAGTGAATTTATTTTCTTTTTTTCTTTCCTAGGCATTATGAGAAACCTCTATTTCAGAATCGTTACCGTGGTTATAGGTCTCTATTTTACTGGAACAATGGCAAACACATCAAGAAACAGCAATATTCTATTCAATTCTCAGTGCCAACAGAATGGATATCTTCTGAAAAATTGTTCTTTTACTAGAAAGCATGCTATACATCTGGACACATCACAGACATCAGTCACAGTGGAGGCAAATTTCAATTTCTTTAGACTTCTCTTACAGTCTAACATGAAAAAAGAAGAATGGAAAATAAGGCATCTGGACCTCAGTGACAATCTCATACCGAAAATAACCTTAAGTACTCTTGCAGACTTACAGGGTTTGGAAATATTAAACCTCAGCAATAATGCTATCCACTTAATTTCACTGGATCTACCAAGTCATAAGTCCTTATGGGTGAAGCACCACAGAAGCAGAAATGGCCTTCCATTTCTAAAGGTGCTAATTCTTCAGAGAAATAAACTCAGTTACACTCCCAAGGGTGAGTACGATTTTAAAAGATTGACTAGAGCAACAATGAGTGTTTGGAGAGTTAACGTTTTGTGTCAAGATGAATCCCATGTTTGCTTTCAGTTTCAGGGGAACAGCTGAAAGCAAACAATTTGATCAGAGCAAATATAATAAAGGGGGTTTCTTAGTGGAATTTGAAATGTGAAGGTATAATATGTAGTATTTATAGGCTATGCAGTTTACTCTCACAGTAGTATAACTTTCATTAATGTTGTATGAATTTGTCAAGAGACATTAGGAAGTATTTAAGTGCTAAGTAATAATGCATAATTTTAAACTATCTACTTTAATTATCGTATATTTGTTACTAACTATAGGAAAGCACTGAAAATAGCTATTTCAGATACTTCTTATAACAATTCAAATTAAATATGCTACCATATTTATAGTTTTTGTCTTCTTAGAATATATTTTGCCTCTACTCAACTACTTGTTCTCCAAAGGTAGACCAGAAATAAGCTAATATATTTTGTATGTAAATATTCTTATTATAAAATCAAAATCAGAATTCTTTATCCTAGCTTCTACCAGAATATACCACATATCCTCCTAGTCTAATAAGTTCTCATCCATTCTGACTTTCAGTAGTCTACATGCTGGATTTTCTTAACTAACACAAACCAGTGTTTTTTAAGAAAATTATCAGGTTTATGCACCAAAACTTCCTTTGCTCTTTTTATATTCCAGAGTTCTAGACAATTTCCTTACCTTGTTAGTTTTTAGTCTTGGGCACTATTTGCTAAGCACCTACTTTATATAACATTATGCTAGAAAAGGGAGTATAAGGCTAGTATCATCTTTTTCCATCCCAAATTATGCATAGTTTTTCTAATTTTTCAGTTCTTACATTTCATGTTTTTACTGTTTTCTCTTTCTCTAGCTTCTAGCTTTGTTTTTAGCAGCATTTTGGCAATAATAGCCTGACAGGTGAAGAAACAACTATTCCAGTCTATCATCAGAATGGTGTGGGAAGGGTGGGGGTCTTCTCTCCCTGCCCTTTCCCATAAAAGCAATGGCATTTTGTTTACTATTTTCGGGGCATAGTGTAAACTAATCACGTTGTATTGTGTTGTTCTTAGTATAAGAGGAATACCTGTTAATTGTAGAACATTTAGAAATTTAAAAAAATTAAAGTCAACCATGTATTATATATTCTGCCTATTTATTCTTTATGGCTATTTTTCTTTTAAAATTGAAACATACTGTCCATAATATTTATAGCTTGTATCATCATATCACAGAATACTTTGAACACCTTGTATATCATTAAGTAATCTCATAAACAACATTTAAATAGTTGAATAGTTTTTATTACAGATATGTCATAATTGTTTAATCAAACAACATTCAGGTTATTTACATTTTTTTCCATTTTTTTGAAGAACATTATCATTCCTACACATAGCCATACAATATAGCATATCTTTTTAATTACTATTGTAGATATTAGTCTCAATCTATATATTCAAGCATACTAGAAATATAACCTTCTATTGTCTATAACTCAACATATTTTCTGCGTTCCTGTTCCACGGGAGTCAATGGGGGGAGTTATTGTAGGGCTACTTAATCTTTCATGGACTTTCTCACGCTTTTTCCCAGATTTGTACCTAGGATCTTATGCCCTGACAAGGTGTGTGTGTGTGTGTATTTCCCTCATCCCCACTAGCCAGAGAAAATTTCTTTCCAGTTATTACAGTCTAGAGAAAATTCTTCCCCTTTTGTCTCTTCAAAACCCTCTATGTCTAGAAATTTCTTTCCTTTAAAGGTTTAGGCTGTTGGAAAACGAAAGTCAGAAAGATTGTAGACTCATCTGCATTCTGCCCTCCCATTTGCCTCCCCTGGGTCAATGAGCACAGAGCCATCACCCCTGAATATCATTGTTTTGTATTTTCAGCTTGTCACTTATTACTGGATAAGTGGATGGAGAAAAAGGGAAAGAGGAAGGTATAGGGAGGTAAAAGATTAACAGGTCAAAATATTATCTCACCACAAGAGCACATAGGGAAGTGCTAGACCGTTCTCCTTACGGCAGATTAATTCCAGGGATAACTGGGGGTTAGAACTAATACAATTCCACATAAGAACCAAATGCCCCTATTAAATTAAGATACAGCCCCTATCTTCCCCTTCCAAGTTAAGCTTCTGCCTCCAAAAGTATCATGAAAAGTGTTAAATTTGCAAAGGAGAAAAGAAGAAGTGAAATTAGCAAATCCTGTGTCTGATATTCTATTAAAATTCTAGCAAATAAAATCAGAGAGATGAATGAAATAGATAATGGAAGTCCAATGTCAGCCCCGAATCTAACTAGGTATAGAGTCCTTTTAGCCACAGGATCTTGTGATTTGAATGATTTTCCCATAATCCTCATACATTTTCAGCTTTTACTAGGTTGAGTCCGTTTTAGCACCCCTTCCCATTTTATGAGTCTGGGATTATGGCTGGGTAACTCTGAAATCTCGCTTTGGAGAGAAAAAGCTGGTAAGAAAGAGATACTGCCTGGAACACCATCCTGTTTCTAGCCTTCCCTTTGTTCTTTGTTTATTCCTTTACTTTGAGCCTATTTAAAGGTAATATCTGGATAATGTAATACTTACTCATAGAATTGTTGTGAGGATTAATGAAAAATAGATCTCAAGAACCTAATCTACCAGCATCTGACATAACAAATGGTAGCTATTAAAATATGTGAAAACTACTTTGTAGAGTTGTATTTTATGACTGTTACTCTCCTGGCACAAATTGAGAATAACAGTCTACTTTGAAACAAATAAGGAATTTTTTTTCTAACCGTCAAGTTATTTTTTAAACTGTTAAATAAACATTGCAATGGATGGGACTCATACCCACTATAACTCACAAAGAATCATTTGTCTAACTTTATCTATATGGGTGCTTGCATTCGTCTCAAATTCAGAGATATCTCAGAAAGCAGCAATCAAGCAATTAGCTCTTGTAGCACGTGTGTATCTTTAGTGTACCTGTCCCACATGTTTCAAGATGGTGACTGTTAATGGAATGAATGAAAGGTTGCTTTCACTCAGGAAAGCCCACTTTTGTGAGGTGAATTGTCACATCAGTAACCCAATGTCAGCTAATCTCCTGTCTTCAGAGTCAGCTGTGATGTCACCAATGAGCTTCATGTTGGGAAAACATTCAGAGAAGGTGCTGTCCGATGCAATTTACAAAACAGACACCAACAGTGAATTAACCTTGATAATTCCACCTTCCTCTCGTATTTTTGGAGTACAGCGTTGATAACTGAAAAGTCAGTCTAAATAAATTAAGAACAATGAGCTAGATTTCCAGTTAAACTGACCCACTCCACTCATCAAGCAGTATTTTCAGGGTGCCTACAGAGTATGTGGAAAGGTATCAGGACCAACATCGTATTGAGATTCCTGTTAGGGTGAAAGACCAAATGCAACAGCCTCATATTAACCCACTTAGTTCCAGAAAGTAAGAGATAACTATGTTAGAAATAAGATGAAATAATACTTGACTTTTGAAACTGGTAGAGTCAAAAAACATAACCAGTGTACTATAAAAACAAAAGTATGTTGTATTCTTTCATTTGTAGGGAATTCTTTCATTTGTAGGGAATTAAACAGTTTCATGCTAATTGCTTATGGATTATGGAAATACCAATAATCAATATTCTCAAAACAATTTCGGTTCTAAAAACAAAAAAATGTATATAAGGCATTAAGCTAAGAGACAGGCCTTCAGCTCACCTATATAATTTAACCTCATTAAGGAATGACCTTATGAGTTAAATTATCTTACTCAGGACCATTTCAAACTCTACTCCAATTCTAAATACTCTGTGTTTTCGGCTTATCACACCTGGGAGAGCATTAAAGAAGTTCATAGTCCATAGGAAATGCTTACTAAGGCAGTGTAATGTCTGGGCATCCGCTCTGTGGCCTTTTTCCTAATAGACACAGGTAATTTCTTGGAAATAATAAAACTACCTCTGGCCTCTTAAAGGCAAAGGCTAATCAAATTCCTACCTGTCATGGTCTATGTGAACATCGAATAGCAGTTCAATAAATGATTTCATTTCCAAAAAGAAACCTCATATATTCCTCCCAACATTCAACTCTCCTCTCTGAAACATGGAATCTATCTTGTGATGTCCAAGCTCCAGCCACTAATATACCTCACAATCTCTTTCACGCACTTAAATACCCCCTGAACATATAGGGTCGCTGTGAGTTGGAATCTACTTGACAGCAATGGGTTTGGTTTGGGTTTTGGAATGTTTACTCACCAAGCAAAATTTTTTAAAAAACACGTTTCCTCCCTGGAGAAACACAGCCAAGCATCACAGAAGATTTTACTCAAATGTCCCAAGCCCATCTTGAAAGACTCTAAACAAACATGTTCCTTGTAGGGATCCCACCAGTTCCCTTAATGAAATAAAACCTCAATTCTCCACACTTGGAAGTAGAGGAAGAGATTTTGTTCTGTTATACATAAGGTCAAAGGACTCCTGGTGGCACAGTGGTTAAGTGCTCAACTGCTAACCAAAATGTTGGCAGTTTGAACCCATCAGCTGCTCCTTGGGAGAAAAGTGTGTTAGTCTGCTTCTATAAAGATTACCCAAACCAAAAACCCATTGCTGTTGAGTCGATTCCAATTCATAGTGACCCTATAGGACGGAGTAGAACTGCTCCATAGGGTTTCCAATGGGTGCCTGGTGGATTTGAACTGCTGACCTTCTGGTTAGCAGCCGAACTCTTAACCACTACACAACCAGGGTTTCCTCTATAAGAGATTACAGCCTTGGAAACCCTATGGAGTAGTTCTATCCTGTCCTATGCGGTTACTATAAGTCAGAATCAACTCAACAGCAATGGGTATACATAAGATCACCATGAGTCAGAGCCAACTCGATGGCAGCTAACAACAACAACAACTGAACTTCAGTCTTAACTCCCATCCCCAGAACTTTACCTTCTTCTTAGG